TAGCAATTCCAGGTTCAACAGAATGCAAAATCCATGAAATCACCAAATTATTGCATCTATTCCATTGAGAGAACATCGGAGAAGTAGTTTCTGGCATTTTCGAAGCTCCATTGACAAAACCTAGCTTATTTCTCGCGCTTAATGCAATTTCTGCTGATCGTTTCCAGTGAGGAAAGTTCTCACCATTCAACTTCTGAGAAGCGAGCAAGAAACTAGGAGATTCTGTAGGATGAAGATACAACTCGTTGTGGATGTCGATGGAAGACCTCTCAGAAGAATTTGCACCCGCCATGGAAGAATATGCAGAAAATCAGAAGATCTTGAGATCGATTGATCAGAAAAACAGAGGAACAGAGATCGATTATGTAGAAAACCAGAGAATCAGAGAATTTGTTCAGGCTCTGATACCATGATAACTTTCACACCATGGAAGAAAGAGAAAGTAAAGAAACTTGGAAGAGAAGTTGTTATTCTATCTGTGAAAGTCTGCGTACAAGCTAAAGGAAAAGGAGTATATAAAGGAACCAAAACTACTAGCTAACAGAAAACTGCAAAGCCTAAAATTAAGCCCCAAACAGTGGGGTTAGTTAAACACTAAGTGACAGCTGGCATTGACCCCTTTACAGCTGGCATTGAATCTGTTATCTTCACAATATGAGAACTTTATTGTTGGACGGAGTGAGTACTTGAGAATAAAATTATTATTATAAATAAATAAAAACTAAAAACTAAAAAATTATATACATAGTTTGTAATTTTTATACTCCGTATTTTGTGATTCTTATGTTTGTGAATCAAAATGTCTAAAGGTCAATTATTAACAGCTCTATTATACTTTCTTACATCATTCATCTTAAAGTGTTCTTTTCAGTTAGTATTTATATACTCCTTCTGTCTCTTTTTAAATCGTCTGTTTTGACTTTTGGACATATTTAAGGAAAAGAAAAAATAGAGTTGATTTTTTGAAATTGACAGTACTTTTTAGGAGGTATGACGATGAATGAGAAGATAAAGAGGAGAAGATTGACTTATTTTAGAGTTAGTTTAAGTATTTTACTTTTAAAAGTTTACGAAAACAACTAATAGACAACTTATTTTGGAACGGAGAAAAAAGACAAATAGACAATTTAAAATGGAACGGAGGTAGTAGTTAATTTTAGTCATTTTTTACCTATTTCCATTTATTATTTGATAAAATAATACACTCACGTCTAAAGACCAAAACACTTCGTCCTTTGATTTTTGTCCACTTTTATTTATCCCAAAAACCAATTAGAAATCACCTTAAATAGGACTAAAACATGGAGAAAAGTACCAAAATAGGACTTTCATGTTTTTCCCCGAAATAGGACTTTGCACTGTGGTAATGTGACTTTGCCATGTGGTAATGTGGCAGTGTACATGTGCACATTACTATGATTTCTTGGTAATGTATATGACTATGTTTGGTAATGTAAGTCTTATTTCAGAAAAAAAACATGGAAGTCCTATTTTGGTATATTTTTAATGTTTTAGTTCTACTTTGGTCTTTCTTCCAAAACCAATGCAAGGTCTCTAAAGACCAAAACACTCTTAAGCCATGTCCAGCTCACAAGTTGTTGTCCATACCTTCATGTCTTCTTGTGGCAACTAGCCTCTCAATCCATCGTCATCCACTCATCCCAAAGGTCTAGCCTCTGCCGTCAATCCACCGTCCAGCTCCAGTCATCCACCAGCCAACCCACATCTATTTTAAAATTAAAATACAAAAAAGAAGCTAAGTGAGAAATGATAATCCCTCCGTTCTCAAATTTTTTTGTTCACTTTCAATTTAACATAATAACCAATGAAAGGATTGTAGACTGTCCCCACAAACCAACACAAGTCTTTCCTGCACACTTTGTCCTCACTCGTGCGCGCCCAAGGAAAACTTCCCAGGGGGTCACCCATCCTAGAATTGCTCCAGGTCAAGCACGCTTAACCTTGGAGTTTCTAGGTGATGAGCTCTCGAAAAGAAGATGCACCCTGTAGGTATGAGTAGTACTATCAATCCTTTTGAGCTCTTCTCATTCCCATCTTAATACGGGGTATTACATTGTTGCTCATATCCTCATGTCTTCTTGCGGTAACTAGTCTCCCTATCCATCGTCATCCACTCTTATCAAAGACCTATCTAGCTATCCACCAGCCAGCTCACATGAATTTCAAAATTAAAATACAAAAAGAAAATTGAGAAAATATAATCTAACCGACAGAATTCTAGATCTTGAGAAGAGTTTATGTGTGCGAAGAAATCCAGCAATTGGAAACATCTAGGTGACATCCATTAGAGATGTTAGAGAAGGCGTAACATCAATTTATTTTATTTATTCTAATTCTAATGTGAGTTGTGACATATACTCAATCTTTTTTAGTAAAAGCTACTCCATCCGTTCTCAAAAACACTTCCTCTTTCATTTTTTCTACTTCCAACAAAACACTTCCCCTTTCTATTAAAAAACCACTTTTACCCTTACTTTTTCATACCCTACCTATCACATCATACTTTTTCTCTAATAATCTATCCATCACATCTTACTTTTACCCATCACATCAGGGGCAAAATTGGAAATCAACTACAATTTAACACTTTCTTATTTTTGCCCCCAAATCAAATGGGAAGGGTTTTTCCAAACGGAGGGAGTAATAAAATTATATGTAATCTTGCGATGGGGGATGGTTGACGATTGAGATCAAGAGATATTAT